ATCAGAAATCTATAGATACTGACCGCTGGACTGCCTTCTCGTGACGTGACAGCCGGTGACTCGTCGTTGGAACCTCTTCCAGGTCGTCGTCGAGGTCACACCCGTTATCAGCTGCTTCCTGTGAGTAGCTGTGCTTCATTACCAGGATGCTTCGCCGGTTTCCCGTAGCAACGTTAGGCAGCATCGGCCGTACCGGCTGGGGGGGGAGGTCCGTGAGGAGGCTGGCGGCCTCGCGCGTGCTCAGGTTGCTGCGGCTACCACGGCAACTGAGCGATAGCTGGGACAAGTGGGCGGAGCCCGGGTTGGAGGCGGAGCCACAGTGGTGGTCGTGGACACAGCGCGAGGAGGAGTGGCGCAGCGCGTGGTAGTTCTCAAAGTCCTCCGCCAGGTCAACTAGGTCCGCAGAGGCGGCTGTGGCCGCGGCGCTCCGTAGTGTGCAGAGCTCGTAGTGCGGCGGCTCAAAGACCTCCTGGAACATGGTGGGGTCCAAGTCCTCACGTCGGAGAATATATTTCTTCCTGGGCTGTTTGATCTGGACGATGATGGACACGACGAGGAGGATGAGAACAATGCAGCAGGTGACACCAATGATGGTGCCGTTAGTGTTGTTCAGGTTGTCAAGGATGTTGGCCTGACGCTTTTCTGTAGATGAAGGGGAGGGCGAAGGGGAGGAGAGGAGGGGGAGGTGAGACAGACAGGGAAAGAGAGGAAGAGCGGGAGAGACAAATAGGGGAGGGGAGTGTAGAAAGGAAAAGAAGGGAAAATAGATTTGGGAGGAAGGACAAATAGGGCAGGAGAGACAAATAAGTAAGGAGAGACAAATAGGGGAGGATTAAGGGGAGGAGCCAAATAGGGGAGGATTCAGGGGAGGAGCCAAATAGGGGAGGATTAAGGGGAGGAGACAAATAGGGGAGGAGAGACAAATAGGGGAGGAGAGACAAATAAGTAAGGAGAGACAAATAGGGGAGGATTAAGGGGAGGAGACAAATAGGGGAGGAGAGACAAATAGGGGAGGAGAGACAAATAGGGGAGGATTAAGGGGAGGAGACAAATAGGGGAGGAGAGACAAATAAGTAAGGAGAGACAAATAGGGGAGGATTAAGGGGAGGAGACAAATAGGGGAGGATTCAGGGGAGGAGACAAATAAGGGAGGATTAAGGGGAGGAGCCAAATAGGGGAGGATTAAGGGGAGGAGCCAAATAGGGAGGGGAGACAGGTAGGAGAGGAGTAAGGGAAGGAGTAACAGGAGAAAAGACAGAAAAGGGAAGATTCAGGTCGAGACAAAAATCGAGACAAAAGAGAGTTGGACAGTGAGAGGGACGGAAAGTGGCCGTTAGAACACAATTACTACTTTCATCTCATCTATGTGAATGTAGCAAACTGGTAAAACATGCTGGCATTATACAGAAACTCCGCCTGCATTGCTCATTTAAGGAGTGACTGACTACTTATACACACTTGTGAAAGCTAGGCTCCATGTGTCTAATAACAGTCACCGCCAGGCCTTTATGAAAGATCACAACCCAGCAGGTAAGATACATAACAGTAAACCTGGAAAGATCATTCTCAACACACAGAGGAAATGGAGCTACAAGAAAGATCAAGATGTTATTGATTAAAAGCAGCTGGTGAAAAGGTTTGGTGTTAAAGAACTGAGGCAGTTCCAACCGAGGCCTTATAAAGAGCACCGAGCAAAACTTGCCTATAGGGAGAAGACTGACATGTATTCAGTAGCGAGGTTGGATATACCGAATACTTTTATTATGAGCGTGTGTGTTTGTGCAGTAATATATGGAATCTGGCCAATGTGGCTGAAATGTCCCATAGCTCCATGTTCTCCACGATTTCCATTGCTAAGGGCTGTTTTACAATTGGGATGTGGTGTATTTTTATGATTTAGAAACCCTGTTAAAACTTCTAGTGAAAGGGATTTATGCTGCGTTGCATGTTTACAGGGTTAACCTAACAGTAACGCCTGTACTCACAGAACCCTTTGAAAACAGTGTTTTCAGCATGATGGCTAGAATGAAAACACGATCTCGGCTCAGGATAAAAACGTCTACTTTCCTGTCTGATTTTGGACCTGGGTCCACTGTCGTAGTTCAAAGAGCATTCGCTGCCCAGAAACCCACACAGTCAATAACGGAAACACCACCAGACAGCGTTGAATGTCAACCAGGGCTTTGATCTCAATCGAGAACGCACTTCTTTGAGATATAAAATAAAAAGGGCAGACTTTATGACATGTCCTTTGCTCTTTTAAAAAAACAGGAAGACCGACTCAGTTTCCAAATGATCTTCATATTGATTAGTGTTAGGATTTTTTGTGGTTAGTTTCAATCTTTTTGAGTTAATGTTTAGTTAAAGTAGAGTGGTCCTAAGTGATGTACGAGTCTGCAGTAGAGTGGTTATTGAGATTATTGCATTTTATTAACGAATTAACTATGAAAACATACACTTAATCTAGTTCATTAATCCTGGATTTTTAGCGTGCTGACTACCGCACAGACTTGGCTTCCTGTAACAACACATGCTGTAAAAAAAAAAACTAGTTTAGCTTTTTATGGTGTGTTTGTGCACACCTCTCTAATTTCAGTTTAATCACCTCCGTGGTTGCAGAAACAACACTGGCAGTACAATCAGAGATAACAAGAAAGGAGCATGAAAATGACATGTTGCTAATGAAGACAGATGAAGGCAGCCCAGGATATATACATTTCCAAAACAAGGGAAGGTGATCTGCTAATAAGCCAAACACAAAAACATGCCCATGGAAAACCCTGACCAAAACCGATTTTCAAACACAAGCCTCTTCGCTCTTCCGCCATTTCATTCTATCCATATAATTATTGATCAGATTCTAATCCCTACAAGTCATCCTCATGTTGTCCAGTTTGCCCTCCCTGTGCTGGGGTGAGCTCTACAGATGTGCCTGGCTGACCACTGTCACTACATTAGACACCAGGGAGATGGAACACATATCGATTGACCCGGGGCTCAGAGGACACACGAGACGAACACGAGAATCATAGTATGGATCTAATTGGACGGCTACAATAACAGGGCGGGTTGAGGCCTCAGTTGAGGGCTGCGTAGAAAGTGAGACAGAACACAGTTCAGGGAATACAGTGGAAATATTACATTTCATATTAATGGAAGTGTGCATTAAGATCACATATGTATTGAGAGAGAGAGAGAGAGATTCAGATGAATTCATAAGAATTATTACTAAATGAGAATTCAACTAGATTATTTTGTACGTAAAAAGATATGATAATACTAATGTAATAGAGACAGATCAACAGGAATGGAATTTAAGTGGATTGTGATGGAAGCACGGTGGGAAGTCCACGGAGTGGAAGGGACATACCTCGAAGACAGACAGGGGCTCAGGGGTGGATTTGACTGGGATTGACAGTGGGTTTAATGTGGATCATGTGATCATGTCATGAGAAAAAGGGAGTGAGCTTGGAGAGGGGTGGAGAGGAAGATGGGGTTGAGAGAGAAATACACACGACAGGTCAGGTATGGATTGATGATTACAGATGGTGGGCGATGTGGCACGAGGTCAGAATTGACTGTGAGAACTCAATGCTTGAATGTGACAGAATGTGCGTGTGCCAGAGGGAGTCCAGCATAGAGCGCGTGTTAAATGTGTATCTAGTGTGTGTAACTGGAGTGAGTCAGGGCTTAACCTCTCACCTTTACAATGGTTCTCATCCCAGGGGTATACACAGTTCTGAATGCCGTTACACACCAGCGTGTTGTTAATGCACATGTTGCTGTGGCAGAAAAAGGCATCTGCCTCGCAAGGAGCTGAAATAGCAGGAGGGAAAAAACACACAACATAAGACAGGGACATACAGGACATACAAAGACGTACAGGACATACAGGACGTACAGGACGTACAGAGACGTACAGAGACGTACAGGACATACAGGACATACAGGGACGTACAGGACATACAGGACATACAGGGACGTACAGGACATACAGGACATACAGGGACGTACAGGACATACAGGACATACAGGGACATACAGGGACGTACAGGACATACAGGACATACAGGGACATACAGGACAGACAGAGACGTACAGGACATACAGGGACATACAGAGACATACAGGACATACAGGACATACAGGACGTACAGGACGTACAGAGACGTACAGGACGTACAGGACGTACAGGACGTACAGAGACGTACAGGACGTACAGAGACGTACAGGGACATACAGGACATACAGGGACATACAGGACGTACAGGACGTACAGAGACATACAGGACAAACAGGACATACAGGGACGTACAGAGACATACAGGACATACAGGGACATACAGAGACATACAGGACAGACAGAGACGTACAGGACATACAGGACATACAGGGACATACAGGACATACAGGGATGTACAGGACATACAGGGACGTACAGGACATACAGGGACATACAGGGACGTACAGGACATACAGGGACATACAAGGACATACAGGGACATACAGGGGAATACAGTGGCAGTGCAATGCAATACTCAACAACAGTGGAAAAAGGATTACCATTTTATTATTTTAGTCTTCCGGGACCTCATGTTTCTTGTTTGACAAATGTTGTTGGGAAACTTAATGGTTTGAATGAAAGTTTTACTTGGAGGGTTCACAAACTCAAAGAAACCTAAATAATAGCTTGTTAACACATTTTTCATAATGTCATCACAAATTCAACTGAATGTTCATTTATTCACTATTTAATCACTATTCAATAATGAGTTAACTAATAAGTCCAACGACAAAATGTGTTTATTTCCTTAAGGAATCATGCACGCACGTGTGTTTTTCATTGTGACTCAGCTTCAGTGAGATTTAAGGCTGTGGTATATTTTTGCATGTGTCGATGTTAATCTATCCCAGGGCCTTTTCCAAACTCCTCCTGAGGTCTTCAAAGATACATCCCCATTAATTAATTATGTGACTAAGTGTGCCAGCTTGGAATCTCAGTGGGTATCTCAGTGGTAGAATGCATGCTTTGTGTGTATTATGTCCTGGGTTCAAATCCCAGCTGCTCCCCAGGTCGCCATTGTAAATGAGAAATTGTTCTCAATCGGCCTACGGTTAAATAAAGGTTAAAAAAATAAATACGGTAAAACTAAAAGATCTAGTGAGGTCCAAGGAGATTTGGGAAACTGTGTTCTATTTACTGTAAACAAAAACTAATGGAAACAGAAACACACATTTGTTAGAGTGAGGACCATGAACCAGAAAGAGGATAAGCGTTAAAAAAATGCTGACGCCATATTATATATGTTTTAAATAACAATCTTACACCCTTCTCTACAGATATCTCAGGCTCTTCATCAAACAATTCTTAGAATTATTTTAGAACATTACTGGTTCTCAGAAGATATTTTAGAACATTACTGGCTCTCAGAAGATATTTTAGAACATTACTGGCTCTCAGAAGATATTTTAGAACATTACTGGCTTTCAGAAGATATTTTAGAACATTACTGGTTCTCATAAGATATTTTAGAACATTACTGGTTCTCAGAAGATATTTTAGAATATTACTGGCTCTCAGAAGATATTTTAGAACATTACTGGCTCTCAGAAGATATTTTAGAACATTACTGGTTCTCAGAAGATTATGCGCTAGCGGGTATGAATATGAATTTTATTTAACAAATGTAGTTGGTGTCACACCACCATCTGATCTGACAAATCAACCCAATCAGCAGTGAAAGAAAAACGATGAAACAACAGTAGTCAATATGAGCCGAAGATCTGACCCGATGTAGAGTACAAAGCCACGCCGACTCTGGAGTTAATTTGTGGAAGGCACTGTGAACAGACCTGGAACCTGCTCTACTCTTCATTCATTAACATATTTCCACCCTGTTCGGGAATATGCTGAGACAAGGCAGTGCATAATAATCTCTTTGGGAGTGTACTTTATAAAGTGATTTGACTACACGGCACTGAACACCTGCGGAGGAGACCGTAACATGCTGCAGATGTCAGACTAACACGTGTAGTAACGATCCTGGTTTTAATCCTTAAGGGCAGGGCTAGGCAACGGCGGTCCGGGAGGTCCAAAGCCCTTCTGTTCTTCATCCTCTACTTCTAATCAGGACGGCATTGAGAACTGGTGAGTCAGGTGAGTGAAATTAACTGGCAGGCCGATCCAAAAAGTGGTTCGGCCCTCCAGGACCAAAGGTATCTACGGCTGGTTAAGGGCCGGAGATACCATATGTGTATGTACATGCATTATTTGATATTTTCACAGATGATTAATGTCACATCCGGCCCAAACACCAACGTGCACCCCGCCTCAGATTCAGCTTACTCTGAAACATGTGTGAGAGTGGAGCTCATTTGGAAAATAATTTTTTTTGTGGATTGTATTTGTGAAATAAAAAATAAATAAATAAATATCTGCTGCTTATATCTCAATAGAGTTCTTGCCTCGACAGATCTGCACTGTTTTAGACCAACAGCATATTAGCCAGGTGCTAATAAATAATGTTGACTCATCAGCGTTTAGAACGTTGTGCTAAAGTAGCTGGAATAAAACCCATCATTCAGAAAGCATTTACCTCCTTGACCTTCTGAACAATTTATTGTGTTACAGCATGAAAGCAGAATGTAATTATAAGTTATTGTCTACACTAGAGGCAGCGACTTTGACAGATAGATTCCCTTAGACCACACAGGTAAAATGATTGGTACTGTTGTAACAGCAGACGGAGACGACGATCAGATGCGAGACGTGCGGAGAAGAGAGAGACGGAGATTTGGTGACGGAGAAAAAATACCGACGGCAGGAAGTAAGTAATCCAATTAAAGTGAATGGGGTAATATGTCAGCTGACCTATCGTCACACTACTAATTAGAAGCAAGGTGACTCACAGCAACAGGAAACACCTCCTGTCTTAATCACCAATTACACTAATGCACCGGCTTACCACAGCCGAACAAAGTCTGACAGACAGACGGACCGACCAATTCAATGACTGCAAGCCAAGACAGTCTCGAATTATAATTGAATTATATTGCTACGTCTTCGTTGCACCCAAGAGATAATCTGTTTCCAGTGATAGTTTTATCTGAATTATCAATATTTACTGCGATGAACAGAAGTATTTGTGAGGGTAACTGCTGTCTTCGTTTGGATACAGTATATATTTGGACATGTTCTGGTTAAGCGCTCTGTCATTCCTGCCTCTGTGAGGAGTGAAGTACGACGACAGGTATTAGCTCTACCATCACACCTTCTGTGTTCTGTTGGAAATCATTAGAGTGCATGATTATCAAGTTGATTGCATAGTTTGACAAAGGCCTTGAAGTTTTGGGCAGAATTACCTGGATGATAGATGACTGTTTTCATCCACACGTAGAATACAGGTGAGTAATAACAGCCCAAATCAAATTAATCATCATCCTCTTTCATGTCGCTCTTTTTTCACTCTTCTAATACTTATGCTAAACTTGTATGGGTACAATTAACACAAGGTCAACCTTAGATATTTGTCTGGAGTCATCCACAAGCAGCTCTACAAGCACAGTCCCAGTTGTAACCACCAGGGGGAGCCGCCGTCTCTCCCATTGATAGACGGCAAAACATTTCTCCATCTCTAAACATCACCGTAGCTCCACAGAGCCACAGCTGGTTTTATTGAGGGTGGATCCAAACTAATCTGCAGCTGATTGTATGAAGAGGTGGATCCGAACTAATCTGCATCTAAATTAATTCCCAGACATCCTGAAAAAATGTCTCTTATCCACTCATAAAAAAACCTCTTTGTTGGAACTCAATCTCTTCAGGTCTGAAGGATCGAATAAATGTATTTCTAATGTAGACTACATGTTTTAAAAAATTTTCAGAACACGGTCTACATAGATACCCAGTATGGTGACCTCGGATCTGTATTTCTGTACGCGTACAGACCATAAATTGGTATGTGAAGAAAAGCCACTGAGGACGTAGATCTATAAACCCCAGGGGGATGCTGGGCATTGACGATGTGATGAGGCAGACAGCTCTGCTGTCACACGCACACACACACACACACACACACACACACACACACACACACACACCTCCCACTTCACCCTGCCTGTGTATGTATAATTGCATGCTGGGTAATGATAGGACTCTCTTCACATTCCGGATGTCAGAATGGGCAGCTGGTGAAGTGTGTGTAAAGAGTGTTTGGTCATGAGTGTCTTTTTGGAGTGTGTTTTACCTTGCTGACATATTGTATTTATTCCCCATTGTAGATGGGTTGCAGCTGTGTGTGGTGTAGAATACTTTATAAATCAGCAGCAGACAACTAGATTCAGCTAGATTTAGATTCAGGATGGGTTTATTTTCAGAGCGGAAGATCTGGGACTAGAAAATCATTGTAATCAGTAAACCTAGAAACCTGAAATACAAAACATAAAATAATTGATTGCATTGGTACTCAACCTCCTAATCAATATTTGGTAGAGACACCATTGACAACGATTACATTATACACTGTCATGAGTCTATTTGGATACGTGTCTACCAGCGTTTCTGACCAATTGCTTGAGCTCCGTTAATTGGAAGGGATACTCAGGCGAACACACGTTTTCAACTCTTTCCAGATATTGGCAATTGAATGGCGGCCCGGGATTTTACCTTCCACTCTCTGGCTAGATACCTTTTTGTTTTACAGTTCCATTTTGGCTTTTGCTATACGTTTGGGGTTATGTTCGTTTAATGAACATAAAACCCCAGCTTCAGCTTCGACGTTTCCGGGGCAACGGCACATCCTCACATCTTGCCCTCTTGCTCGCTTTTGCACTAATGTCACACACTAATGTTGGACTGTGTGTAGGTCTTTGTGTTTATGTGCAGGCAAGATAACGTTTATACCATTCAAGACATTATGCTCTTTTCAATTGCATCCTGGTTTTTGGGTTAAGTTAAAACTGGGGTTAGGATTAGATTCAGGGTTAGATTCAGTGGGTCAAGTGTTATTTTTTAAAAGTACGCTAGAAGTTAGATTTGTAGTGCTTTATTTAGCTTTAGGTAAAGTTATGGTTAGAATAAGCAAAAAATACACATTTTAAAAGGATTTGCTTTTGATGTTCCCATATTGATAGCCAAGTTGGAGGCGTTTGTGTGTGAATACATGTTCCTATTCTGTGTCTACTAATACACTTATGGTCTTGCAGGACGTTTAAGAGGATATGAACGAGTGTGTGTCTGTGAGCGTGTTTCCTACGTTCTTGGAAGGTGGTGAAGAGTATCCTGAAGCGACTCCTCCGGCTGCCCTGGTCAGCCCACATCCGGACCACTCCTGTGGTGGACACCAGCATCACGTCGTTGGCCACCGTGGAGCAGAACTTGTTCTTCAGGTCCTCCACCGAGGCGCTGCCGTCGTACACCGCCACAAAGTTACGCTTGCACTCGTTACTGTTCTGCATCTCGTAGTCCAGGAAACGCAGGTAGATCTGGGGAGTGGAGGGAGGGGGGAGTGAAGGGGGGAGGCAGAGAAGTGGTTAGGAAGGGTGGTGGTTTGAGAGAGGGGAGGGATTGAAAGAAATGTGAAACAGATAGACAGAGACGGAGATGAGAAGGCAAGGGAGTGTTACACAAGAAGTAGGAGAGTTGAATAATAGATACAATAAAGTAGCACAGAAGAATCAATCAATCAATCAATAAATTGTATTTTCACAACCAAGTTGTCACAAAGTGCTTTTACAAACACACAGCCTGAATCCGACAGAGAACACATCGACAGGTTGAACAAGTTGAATAAGTTGATACAAAACGGCTAGGAAAAATTCCTTGATGGGTCGAATTTAGGAAGAAACCTAAAGAGGAACCAGGCTCTAAGGAGAGGCCAGTCCTTTTCTGGCTGTGCTGCGTGAGCACGGGAGGGGTAGGTCATTATAAATAACGTCACAGTCATTACATCTATGGTAAACTCCTATCAAAAATAAACTTCCTCAAACAGGCTGAGAGGAGCTCTTAGGTTTGCACTCTCATTCATATCAGTGAATCTGTCAGATCAAGCATTTGCCTCAACAAAACAAA